TAAAAAGAAGAAATAAATGTAACTAAAGTAATAACAAAATCAAGTAAACTATAGAATTTATAAGAAAAAAAATAATAAAATAACTTCTAAAGTGATCTAATATTATTTAAAATTAAACTTTTTTCAGGAATGCTTCCAACATGAGTTTTCCTTAATCAACTATATTCAAATCAATATCCAGATCACTTCTTTCCAAGATGTAAGCTTAGAATTAAAGACATTAAACATGTTTTCAAATGCATCAAAACAGAAAACCAAGTAGCTCAAATTATTAACAGTATAAATAGCATCTTATATTCAGATTAAAGCAACAAACCAATTGATTACATCTGGCAAGTGGTCAAGCTTTCATGTGATTTTATCAATAATATACACTTTATAGCAGATACTATTATCTGGACTAAAACAGTTTTAAAAAATCTCATTGTCTAATATATCTAATTTGAAAGATATGATAAGTGATAATAACAAATCTTTACTGGTGAAAGAGATAAATATATCTACTGGAGCAATTTCAAAGAATAAACTAGAAACTGTAAATAAGGATAATAATATAAGCAAGAAAGTCAAATCTTTATTGAAGAAAGAGATAGATGAACCTGGTGATTCTTTAGGTTCTAACTTGGAACCCTCTGATGATAATAGATTCTGTGGATTTCTGATGATGATGAAGGTAATTATTATAATTTAAATACTGATGAAACTTATACAAAATCGAATCATTCAATCTGCACATATTAACTATTTTCAAAGCATATTGCTTGTGTGATCTAATTTATTTATATTAAGGTCTGTTCAAAAAGAAATGAAGCAAGTTAACAATGTATAATCTCACAATACATACATATCTATTTATTATATAACATATTTGTATATACATATATATACTGTATCTATTTAAAATAAACTGTCTAAAGTATTCCTGAAAGCTAATACTTTAAACTTTTATTTACTGCTATTTTATAATGATCAATAGCTATTTTTTTCTTAATTTTTCTATATTAACCTGTTTTATAAGTCCCAAAAATTCGTAGTATAAATAATAGATCCTACTTGTTATTATTACACATCTACTTTAATTTTCATACAGACTGGATATGTGCATATAAACATATAATTCAGTGACAAATAGGATATATTGTATTAATGTATCAATAAATAACTGAAAAAAATAATTATTTAAATGTCAAACCTTGATTTATTCATCTAATGTCAAAATTTTATTTCAGCCTACACATGTACACTTAAATCAAAAACAATAAATTTTTGTTTATATAGATACTTTATTAATAATTTTATATATATTGCATTAATCATAAACATTGTTGGGGGTTATAACGGCGAGTCTGTTGCTACGTCGCGATCGCCGATCGTGTAACGTCGAAAGAGGCGTGGAGATGTGGCACGAGGT